AGGGTAGTATCTGCTGGGGGGGCGAGAACGGCGGGGGGAGGGGCGGTGGGTACAGCCAAGACGCCGAAATGAGGATCGCTTCAGGTCCAGGAGGGGCTCCAGGTTTCGCGCCGTCGTTCCTTGGATCCAGGAGGCTGGGGAACCTGCTAGTGGCTGAGGCTCGCCCTGGAGGAGGATGAGGAGGAGGAGGAGGACGAGGAGGAGGAGGAGGAGGAGGAGGAGGAGGAGGAGGAGGAGGAGCGAGGAGGAGGAGGAGCGAGGCAGGAGCGCGGAGGAGCGAGGAGGAGCGAGGAGGAGCGAAGAGAGGCGAGGAAGCGGCGAGGAGGAGGAGGAGGAGCGAGGAGGAGGAGGAGGACAGGAGGAGGAGGAGGAGGAGGAGGAGAGGAGGAGGAGGAGGAGGAGGCTGGGGGGTGGAGGAGGAGGAGGAGGAGTTATGAGGAGGAGGAGGAGGAGGAGGAGGAGGAGGAGGCGGAGACGGAGGCGGAGGCCGAGATCGAGGCCGAGAAGGAGGAGGAGGAGGCGGAGGCGGCGGAGGAGGAGGAGGAGGAGGAGGAGGACCAGTGTAAACCCAAGAGCCATCAACGATTTTAGAATACACCCTCCCACCGAGCTCCCTCTTTATAGGCCCCTACAACGGTTCATTTCCATTGGGGATCTGCTTCGTTGGAAGACAACCGTTTGAAGACCCGGAAGCATGCCAAAACATGGTTCTCGGGATTCCAACGCCACGGATCAACCTGATTGTTGCGTCTTGACGATCTTGGACCGTGCCAGAATGTCATCAATTTCTGGCACGTTGACCTTGGGAATCCGTGAAACTCTTGCAAGTGTTTAAAACGAATGTGCGCGGCGCTAAGGCGAGAGCCACATATTGAAAAAGAACCGCTCTCAATCCTTGAAACTCTTGCAAATGTTTAATGCGAATATGCGCGGCGCTAAGGCGAGAGCCACAGTTTGTAAACGACCCGCCCTCAATCCGTGAACCTTTTGTTTTTTCCCAACCATCCTGTGGTGTGAGCGCCCCGCGTCCTCACTCCTCTCCTACTCCCTCACCGTCCTCCCTCCTCCTCCCCCTCCCCCCTCCTCCTTCCTCCTTGCGTTTCGCCCACCCAGTACAGCGTTTCGTGGCCCCATTGGGAGCTCCACCGAAGGCGCCAGTGCCACCGCCCGCATGCGTCACCCACAGCGTCACCCACACCCATTCCGGCACACCCCTCACATGCTTCGTGGCCCCATAGGGAGCTCCACCGAAGGCCCCAGGGCCACCGCCCGCATGCGTCACCCACACCCATTTCGGCACACCTCTCACGCGTTTCGTGGCCCCACTGGGAGCTCCACCGAAGGCGCCAGTGCCACCGCCCGCATGCGTCACCCACGCCCATGTCGTCACACCCCTCACATGTTTTGTGGCACCATAGGGACCTGCACCGAAGGCCCCAGTGCCACCGCCCGCATGCGTCACCCACACCAATTTCGGCACACCCCTCACACGCTTCGTGGCCCCACTGGGAGCTCCACCGAAGGCGCCAGTGCCACCGCCCGCATGCGTCACCCACGAACGTTTCGGCACACCCCTCACGCGTTTCGTGGCCCCATAGGGAGCTCCACCGAAGGCCCCAGTGCCACCGCCCGCATGCGTCACCCACGCCCATTTCGGCTTTCGTCACACCCTCACGCGTTTCGTTTGGCCCATAAGGAGCTCCACCGAAGGCGCCAGTGCCCACCGCCCGCATGCGTCACCCAGCACATTTCGGCAACACCCCTCACTCGTTTCGTCGGCCCATATGAGAGCTTTACGAAGGCCCAGTACCACCAGCGGTGCATGCGCCATCACCCACACCCAGTCGGCACACCCTCACATCGGCACACCCCTCACACGTTTCGTGGCCCCATAGGGACCTCCATCGAAGGCCCCAATGCCACCGCCCGCATGCGTCACCCACACCTATTTTGGCACACCCCTCACACGTTTCGTGGCCCCATAGGGACCTGCACCGAAGGCACCAGGTGCCACCGCCCGCATGCGTCACCCACGAACGTTTCGGCACACCCCTCACGCGTTTCATGGCCCCATAGGGAGCTCCACCGAAGGCGCCAGTGCCACCGCCCGCATGCGTCACCCACGCCCATTTCGCCACACCCCTCACACGTTTCGTGGCCCCATAGGTAGGGAGCTCTACCGAAGGCCCCAGTGCCACCGCCCCCATGCGTCACCCACGCACGTTTCGGCACATCCCTCACGCGTTTCGTGGCCCCACAGGGAGCTCCACCGAAGGCGCCGGTGGCTGCGTTCGCATGCGCCCACCATGTCGGCACGGCCCCTGTGGCTGCGTTCGCATGCGCCCACCACACCTATTTCGGCACACCCCTCACGCGTTTCGTGGCCCCACTGGGAGCTCCACCGAAGGCCCCAGTGCCACCGCCCGCATGCGTCGTCCCTCACGCACGATTCGGCACACCCCTTACGCGTTTCGTGGCCCCACACGGAGCTCCACCGAAGGCGCCAGTGGCTGCGTTCGCATGCGCCCACCGCACCCATGTCGGCACGGCCCCAGTGGCTGCGTTCGCATGCGCCCACCGCGCCATTTCGGCACACCTCTCACGCGTTTCGTGGCCCCATAGGGAATTCCACCGACGGCCCAAGTGGCTGCTGTCGCATGTGCCCACCGGACAAATTATGGCACGCCCGTCCACGTTTCGTGGCCCTATGAGGAGCTCCTCCGAATGCGGTGCATACAACGACGGTGCTCACAACTGCATATGGTTGGGTCCTTCGCCAGGCTAATTCAAACGAATGTGCACCGCGCGAAGGCGAGAGCGACATTTTCAAAACGACCCGCCCTCCATCTGTGAAACAGTTGCCTCATTTTAGTTAAGCTTCAGAGTCATAAACGGTGATGAAGTCTCAGGCGAAACGCCTGGCCCGCCCTAAAAACTGGCCTCGGGGTGCGACAGGGAGAAGTTATGTGTAAGGAAAAGGAATAGAGGAGGAGGAGGAGGAGGAGGAGGAGGAGGAGGAGGAGGAGGAGGAGGAGGAGGAGGAGGAGGAGGAGGAACTCTGCATGAGCGGCAACAGAAGTCGCACCCCGAAGAGAGCACTTAGGCAAATGAGTGCGACTGAACGGGACAAGGGCAAGTCGGCTGGCCCACTCGCGGCCGCCTTCCTTGAGGCGGTGTGCCGCTCCGGTATTGCTGCGAAGAATCGAAACCCTCGCCTCTGGAGACCACACAGGGCCTGATTCAGCGGACCCCGCTGCGCCGACCCTGATCCTGCGGTCCGGCTACGCGGACCCAGGAGGGCAAACATGTACCACACCTGAATGAAACAAGCGTGATGCGAGGGAGTCGAACCTTCCACCACGCAAAACAAAGGCCGACTGCTTGTCTCCGCCAACTTGATATAATTTCCTGACAGTGTGCCCTCCGCTTGCGGTTGTGCCGGTGCCAGGATACGACACCGTGCCCCTGCGGAGGGCGAGGAGGAGGAGGAGGCGGCGAAGGAGGAAGAGGAGGACGAAGAGGAGGAGGAAGAGGAGAGAGGAGGGAGGGAGGGGAGGGAGGGAGGGAGGGAGGAGGAGGGAGGGAGGGGAGGAGGGAGGAAGGGAGGGATGGAAGGGAGGGAGGGGGGGAGGGAGCAAGGGGGAGGAGGAGGAGGAGGAGGAGGAGGAGGAGGGAGGGGAGGAGGAGGAGGCAGGAGGAGAGGAGGAGGAGGAGGAGGAAGAGCCCCCATCGTTCCTCGTTTTCCTCGTCTGGGTCGCCCCCGGCGGCGCGGACCCTATCCGCGCTCCGGCACCGCGGCCCGGGCCGAAGAGGCGCCACTCTGCAGGGCGGGCGGCGCGAGCGTGTGGAGGAGGGGGGGCGGCGCCGAGCGAGAAATCCGCGCCAGGCCTCCTGAGGCTTGCTCTTGGATGTTGTATGTTTTTCCATCGTGTTCTCTTCTCTTCGTACTCTCTTAAGTTTTCTAAGTGTAAATCATATTCCCCAGTCTCGCTCTTTTCTTCTTCCCTCTCTATTCCTCACCACCTTCGTCTTCCTTCTTCCTCCTCTTCCTCCACCTCTTTCTCTTCCTCGTCATCCTCCTCCTCCTCGTCCTCTTCCCTCTTCCTCGTCCTCTTCCTCTTCTTCGTCCTCTTCCTCTTCCTCATCCTCTTCCCCTTCTTCGTCTTCTTAGTATAATTCTTCTTCTTGTTGTTATGCCTATTACTATTGTGAGAATCGGTTTGTATCAGTACCTGTTTTAGTGCTATCATTATTGTGATTACTAGCATTCACATCATTAGTATTATTATTGTTATTATTATTATTAACATTACTAGTATGCGCATACGTACTATCATTATTACTATTATCAACAGTATCATTCTCATCATTATCATCATTACTGTTTAGTATCATCATTATTATTAGCATTGCCACTAATACTATGTATTATTCTTATCCTTACTAGCAGTATGGTTATTATTATTGGTGCTATTATTTATAATCTCCTTCTCCTTGCTGTTTTGCCTGGCCTCCTCTTCTTGACCTCTGCAGGGCTCGAGGGCTCTGCGCGCATCCCGAGGCCGCGCGCGTCGGGCCGCGGCGCGGTCTCCGCGCGGCCGGGCCCGGCCGGGCCCGCGCGCCGGTGAGGTGCGGGTCCTAACGCGTCGGCTGCGCGCATTCCCGGCACCCCCTCGATCAAGGGAGGCAAAAGAGGAGGAGGAGGAGGAGGAGGAGGAGGAGGAGGAGGAGGACGACGACCGAGACGCTGTTTTGCTGGACTTCGGCCGGGTTTTGTTTGTTTTGGCAGGGAGGTACAGGAAAATAGGTAGGGCAAAACGGAACACATAACGAAACACAACTTTTAGGTCCAGCCCTGAACCAAGGGAGGAAAAACCACCCGGACCCGATAATTGGCGTTTACCAAACGGCTTTGGTCGTTTACGAAACAGCCTTGCCCTGTTCGATTCCTTCTGTGGGCGCGATTGCTACATGGCTTTGCGTGCAGGGGTGATGATCAT